AATTGTTACGAGCCCCACAAGATATAAAAAGTCAAATATGGTGATTTGATGTGATGGATGACGATCATATTTTTTATTTTAGTGGGCAAATAATGGAAAACAAACGAGGGCTAAATAGCAAAACGAAATTTAAAGTCTTGATCATACCATCGTACTAATCAATCACTTAACCCTAATGAAGGTGGCAAATGGTCAAACATAATTAATGATCACAAAGTAAAAAGAAAAAAAATCCATGTTTTGGAAAGTAGGCAAGTTGGCAGAAGAGCATATAATTCAAGAATAGAAAGAGAACGTGATGAGTACAACAGAAATGCCGTCCAATAAGGACTTGCACCAAAAGGACAAGAGGACAAGTCTTCTTTGACATGAAGAGCATCTATACCAAAGTCTGCAATAATTGGGTAGCACGGCATGTGCAATAAATTCAACAACTTTGACCAAAAGAAATATATAGTTATTACTAAAAACTATGCTACATTTACGCCTTGTGAAGATCGTTATGGCATATAACATGTCTCAATCCAAAATTCTGTACACACGCATTCTTACTCTCCAAGGGTAAAAGATCCTTAAAAATATGATTATATGAAGATGCGTTTATAAAACCTGAAGATTGTGTTAAAATTGCTGTTACATATTTGAATACATCTGCACAGTTCTACTCTTCTATCACTGATACAACCAAACGAGTCATGTTCATTGATATACATACTAAAAGGGGCAGATCATAATTATAGCAAAACCTGTGCATTTTGTAGTTTACAGTCCTGGAGTTCAAATTCAGAAATCAACAGCTTCACCTCTTTCAAAGATCTATAAAATCCCCGTACTCAGAACTATTGCCATAAGTTTTCTGGAACAGAACTGAGAGCTACTGTCAACCGGGGTGGATCCCTTCCATGGCATCAACAATATTTAATCACAACCTGTGTAGACATGACAACTCCAAATTAACTGACTATAAATTAACTGCAGCGTGCATGTAAATTAAGGGACTGTAATGAGCTAACCGCCTTTTGTGCTAATGTCAGTTGCATTGGTGGGGGTAGCATCTGCACTCACACTAACATCCAGTCCTAGCTTATTCTCTTGCACCTTGGCAGGTTGGTGTAGAACATCATTTGCTGCTTGCAGCTGAATTGGAAAGAGAGTTAAATGGGGGTAAGACAAAATGAAGATGGAAACAGAATTAGAACTCTCCAATGCAGAAAAAAACAGTTGAACGAGAAGCTTCCAAGATCGATTAACTTGTGCATCGTGATGCTTTGTTCGTTCGATGTAAAGGAATAATTTCGTTACACAATTGTTGAGCGCTCCCTTCACTTGCCCACATGTATCCAAATATAGAACTCATAAATTCTCCATTACATCCCCTTCCCTTCCCTTCCTGTCCATAGGCCTCAAAATAAGAGCAAGGGACAAGGTCAAAACTTTGTTTATTTTTATTCAATTTCAAAATCTGGGAAATCAACTAAGCACATGTGTGAGCCTCATTTTTTTTTGTTGAAGATCAGTTTTCTAATAGTGAATTCTTGAAGAATATGTGGTTAAAAAGTAGGGGGAAAATTGGATTTACGTGCAAAATATTTTATTGGGAGAATGTGCAGTTAAAAATGAATTGGGGGAAAAATGAATTTTTAGATAATGAAGCTCAAACAAGGGCTAAAAGTAAAAAGGCAGTCGGACGACAATAGAAGTCTCATTTCCAGAAGCACGTAACTAGCAAAAAAACAAAGGATGGGTTAAGATACCAGACGAATATGGAAATGAATTTGGGATCTCATAAATGCAGAAATTGGTCCGCATTTGGGAATTTATACGAATACACGTCTAAATGAATTCTTCTTAAGCTTTTTCATTGCACTGAACTTTCTAACTATTCTAAAACTAATATAAATATAGGTAAGATTTATGACAACGAAATCTAGAGGGCTCAACACCCTTCAGAGCACCCAGTATTTCATTGATTTTCTCTATAGTTAATCGGATGAAAGGAGTAAAATAAAATTGTTATGTTAGTCTATGCATACAAGTGTGTATTTACCAATGGTGATTGTAGTGATATCAATTGATACCTATCAACATCTACTTTTCATCTTCTATTTAAAGAAGTCGAGGAAAAGAGAAACAAATGACAAATCTCACTCAATATAGTAGTACCATATAATATCCCAGTAAGTAGTGAGGTTAGGCCAATTAAACATAGTATGACAACTTGTTAAAACCAGTAAAGAAACTCCAAGTTCTGAAGAAAAAGAAAAGGATAGATGAAAGAGTAATGGAAAAATAGAAGATGGAGAAGGAATGATATTAGCTGGACTAGATAAGACAATTCAACAGTGGTTTTCTTTTCTTTTTTTCACAGGAGTACCAGAATGGGTGGGTCATTATTAGCTTATTTGGCCCTTGGTGATAATTCTTTGATTTTAAATCATATCATAGCTCCAGTGTAAGCATACAAAAACCTCAAGAAGTTGCCACTTAGTGTAGGTACGAATAGTCAACAGGAATTTCACTAGGATGAATGACCCTAATCGCAGATTATTAGCTTCCTTCTATGTTTGACACTATGCCACGTCACTCACACTCGAGCAGATAGGTCAAGACTACCCATTTTGCCATATTCTAATGTAACAACTTCAGGCATTAATGCTAATGGCAGAGCAATAAGTTAGTGACAAGGAACGTCATAAGAACCAAGCTTCAAGAATTCATGCTAAGTCCAATACTTGAGTAATTTCATTCTTGCTATCTATCACTTTGTCTTCTGTGAACTATCCTATACTGGCTTCTGCTCAGTCCATCTGAAACTCAGAGAAGAGAAACCAAAGAGGTACGAAAACCACAAATTCAAGAGGGAAGAAGTTTTATGTAGACAAGGAGTATTGGATAACATAGCTATTTAAGCAATCATGCACCATTATTTGACAGTATTCAAATTCCACTACAGTTTTTCATTTTGAGATAACTTTCCTGACCAAGAAACGACTAGTCTGAAAATATATAGAATGAGAGAAAACATGTAACAAGAACAAACCTTATTAGGTGTATAGTTCATTGAGCTGCTAGCTTCAGCAGTCTGCATCAGCTGTGAATTCTTGTTTCTAATTGGATCATCAGAGTTTGTTGTCAGAGATGTACTAGGCACATTCATGTGACCTCCACTCATTGAGGTATTTAAACCCATGGCAGAACCTACTGGAGGGCGACCAGGTAAAGGAACCAAAGGTGCCTGCGGAACAAAGCCGGGAAGTCCATGACTCGGATGCCCAAATACCGGTCGGTTAGAACCAGCAATTCTTGGAAAATTTGTGCAACCTGGCATTGGAGAAGAGAAATGTGATCCTTGCATGGGAGGTACTGGAAAAATAGGATATCCGGGAGTTCCAACATTCATGTCTAGCATACCCATCCCAAAACCCATTCCCATTCCAACACCCATGGGTGAGAAATGTGGCATGTGAGCAGGATGTACGTGTTGCATTCCAGTGGGAAACATCATTGGTGGCATACAGAACCCAGCTCCCATGGACATAATCTGCACAAAGGGGAATGTGCTGGGATTGTAATTTTTTTGATAATCATACCCAAAACAGTATTAATTAAAATGAATACATTTGTGTCATTTTTCAATAGAATATAATTCTCTCTAGTGCCATAAGTAAAAAGACTTTCAAGCAGCTTCAGAAGATTAAGGTCGTGCTGTACTTGGACGAACAAAATTGGGAAGTAAGACAACTCAAAGGAGAATATTCAATAGTTTGGAAGGAAAAATACTACGAAAGATCACTTCAAAAGCTTCACCTTACCTGTACCTGAAGTTGAAGGGTCTTGAGATATTCAATGGCTTCATCAAGCATTGAAGCTTTATCTGCCTGTTTGTAATGGAGGAAAAGGAAACAGTAGTAAGCGCTATCTACTTTAATGTTCAGAAATTCAGAGGAAGAAATCTAAAATCCTGTTGGAGGGAGAACTTCAGAAGATCAAAAGAGTGGACAGATAGAGTTCATAAAATAAACAATTAAAAAATTAACTTTACTCAATTTTAGCCCTCAATTGATGCTTTAACCTGGAAGGCTTCAGCTTTTAATTATGAAGACCACTAAGAAATCCTAATTCATTGCACTTTATTATTACCTTATTGCAGTTGGGTATAAGTTCTTGTAATGCACGCATTTTCTCATTGATCCTATCCCTTCGCCTCTGTTTACACATGCCAGAAGTGGGATGATAAATGTATATTGTAAAAAGGAACAACCACAAACATTTTCAACGTAATATGTTCTGAAGTTTTATTGCTCACTCTTTCAGAAAGATTGTGGACTTCTGCTGCTCGACTTCTCTTGGAACCAGTACCTCCTCGAGCAGAAGTTTCTTTTTTAACATTGATCGACTCAGTTTCAATATCCTGCATATACAATACAATGGTAAGATAAATTAAAAAAACAAATAACAAGACATTATAAACGGTGCTTATTCCGCACACTTACATCACTATGGCAATCAGACTCCTCATTTTCATGATATTTTCTCTTGCAATTTTGTATCTGATCGCTTGAAGCTCTATTAGCACTGTTGCCAGAGCCTACAGAAGAAGAAGCAATCACAGGCTCAACAGTTCTCTCACTATCTAGAACTCCATTGCTTGCATTGGGAGCATTACTTGGAATCGAAGACTTGGGTTTCTTAACAAGAGTTTCTTGGGGTAAACCCTCCTCTTGTTCAGCATGTTTCGACTCCTTAGGTGGCTTAGATACTGGTGGTCTTGAATCAAGCTCGTTGCATGCCATAGTAGATGGAAAATGGATATCAATATCCTTTTCCTTACTATTTAACCGTTTAAAGAGTGTGGATTTGACAGGATTGCTGCTATTGGTAGCAGAACCTTTCTCGTTAGCTTCCATCCCTTTAATGCCTGATGACCCTGAAATAGGCATTCCATCAGTATTCGGAAAATTAGCTTTGATAAGAGCAGCTGGTCTTGAGAAATGGGAAAAGTTCAACAAATTTGAACTACTACTAGGAATCTCTACATTCCGTCTCTCCATCTTTTCACTGTTAGAATCATTTCCACTTGCCTGACCCCGAGCTGAGTTTCCAAATATAGCATCTGGGATGTCACTCATATTAGTGCTAATGATATCGGAAACTCCAGATCCTAGGGACGGATCTGGCGTCTGGCCTTGCTGAGGCAGCCATGGACATGAGAGCCGAGCTCTAGAAGAAGAAACCTTCGATGCATTCCCATTATCGTGTAAATTACTTTCGGACTGGTCAAAAGTACTTCTCTTGTTAGTTGCAAAGATTGATTGGGCAGACATTCCATTAGCCGTAACACCAGATATTTCAGGTAAGAGTTCAGAACAGTGATCTTGCGGTAAACCATCATCTATGGGATAATTTAACCAAGGAACCATTTCATCATCTTGACTTACATCCAGTTCCCCTGAGGGCACCATAGGTGAAATATCATTCAAGATAGACTCAACTCCACCAAACTTTCCAATCCTTGACGTGGTGAAATTTCCTATACCTGAATCTCTAACTCTTGGCACGTGAGATTGTAAATTGTGAACGGAAAGGCCTTTGTTACCTCTACTAGAATGACCCTGCATTACAATCTGGCCATTCTCCCACACTAGCTCAACCAACTCGTTCTCATCTCTGCATGCAAATCGACCAATACAAACTACATCACATTAATATACCGAAAAATCAACTATACAATTACAAACTTCATCATTTCAACAAACACGGTAGGGTAAAGATAAAAAGAACTACTGCACAAGTAAGCTCACCGAGAAGGGAGACCATTTTGGCGTTTGTCCTGCTCGCCGGAATCCAGATTCCCTCTAGCCATTCTCAGAAACTCGGAGAGGGGCATGATGGAAAATTCATACAATTGGAACCTAGAATTGCTGAAAATTTGCAAAGATTTGTATATTATCACATTATACTGTGTGTTCTCCAAGATCCACCGTCAAAACAACTCTTCTCAAGGGCCGGACGAACTCAAAATTAATTATACCAATACAGCACTACTGACGTTCTGTTGAACACCTACAAAATTCATGACATCAATAATTGACAAAACATGAAGCTACACGACAATTTTCCAGCTGAATATCAGGATATGTATAAAAATATGAAACAGGGAAAGATATAAGCACAAATATTTTATAAATGTAAGCAGCAAGCATGTATGGATTCAATTAGTAACGTCTTAATCCATGAAAATATATAAAATCCAGAACAGGAGTAAAAATATTATTAATTTCCAGTCAAAACCCAATTCTTTAATAGGTGAGAATAGTCTAATCTAAAGAAACTACCAAATTGAAATTGTTTAATTATATAGAAGATTCAATCTTTTTTATTCAAATCCAATCATTAAGAGATAAACCCACATGAGATTTCCTAATTTATCAAAAACCCACTGTTCTTTAACTTAATCCCTTCATCACAAAGTAAAATATCCTTGAAGAAACACAAAAAGAACCGACATCTCAAATTAACTCACAGAAAAGACAAGCTGTCACCAGTAATCCGTTCATAACTCCCAAAAGATGCAAACTTTAATAGAGAAAAATTTCGAATACCGAAAAATCTTCCAAGATTTTCGCTATGTATTTCCCTTTCTCACTACGGCCAATGATGATTATTCTTGAACCCACCAAAGATTTTGCTAATCCAAATGTATTATACAGCTCTTTTGTTTGTGTAAAAAGTATAATCTTCACCAGCTAGCCACTTGATTTTAAGCGAGAACCTGTTTCTTCAAAATATACAGATGGAGAGAAAATATAGGGGCTCCTAGAAGGCGGCGAAAGGCTAGCAAATTAGAAGTGGCCGAGAGAACGAGGCAATAGAAGCCCGTGGCCTTAAAATTTTAAAAATTATGAGGGGCTTGACACCTTTTTTTTAAGGAAAAATAAATTTTAAAATAGTATATTAATAAAAAATATGTGAATGAAAAGTTTTTAATCTTTGTGTAATATTATTTTAATGAGAAACGTGTGACTGAAAAAAATAGAGAGAAAATACATTTCGTGTTGAATATTTTACTGTTGTGAATGTTTAGTTGAAAATAAATGTGAGAAATAAATTTAAGCTCCCGTTTGATTGCTAGTATTTGACAAAAACTTAGGTTTGAATATTAAATTTTTTGAGAATATGTGATTAAATGATATGAAAATATTTGATAATTTATTTTATGAACATGCGGTTAAAAATAAATACTTAGAATGAAAGAGTTTTAAATAACTAAAGTAAAGTGGATGGAATCAGACAATGGCTAAATTGGTGGTATTATAAGTTGCTTTTGTGCAGAATGGTTTAACACTTTAAACTTTTCAGCACAAAAATAAACAGTATTGGTAAGTTTATATTTTTAATTCATCAGAATTTATTTTATTTTTTTGTGATAATTTCATATTTCGATCTTTTTTTTTTTTTTGGGGGGGGGGGGGGGGGGGTTTTGTTGATTTTAAGCATTTTTACTTGGTTTTTGTTTTTGTTTAGACAAGACAGTTCTATTCATTTGCATTACATGAATTACTTCAAAAATTGACATTAAATGAATTTGTTTAAGCTATGAAATACCTCGAATTTTAATTCTACTCAGGGGCACTCGGTGTATATTTAGGGTTTGTTTGATATAATTTTTAAAAGGTCAAAAGTTCCGAAAAGTAAGAAGCTATTTTTGATTTGTTTGAATAATTTATTGGAAATGCTTTTTCTATTTAGAAGAGATTATAGAGAAAGCTAATCAAGATGATTTCGTTAGAAAATTCTATCTTATTCTTTTATATCTTATAGAAAAGTTTTTGAGAAAAAAATAGGCCAGTTTCTCCTAAGAGGTCTTCTAATAATATGAAAAACTTTCAAAAAAATTATTCAAATATATTCAAAAACAATTTTCAATTTTTGAAAAGGTCTTGCCAAATAGGTCCATAGGCAGGTGAGGAAACTCTCCTACGGGAATAGAAGCAAACAATCTTTTATTATTGAATAGATTCAGTGGTATTAAATACAAAATATTTTTCATAAAATATGTGTGTTTTCCAGATAAATTCCAACTTTTGTATTGTTTAATTATCAATTTTTTTCATGAAAAATATTTTCCTACTTTTAGTCACATGACTTTATTTTACTCAAAATTAAGGAAAATATGTTTTCATAAGGAATAAGTTTTTATTTTTCAGGAAATTCACTCTCTTTTTCTCTCTCTCATCTATCGATCAATAAAAAATGACAAGTATAATATTTTCTAAATTGAAAATTAAATCAATCAAACACATTTAATTGACAATTTTTATGTAAATTTCATACTTATAATCAAATACACCCTAAGTTTTTGGATAAATCTTGGTGTATATAAAATATGTACATAGGGGGTGTCCACACCCCTCGCATGGGGGTGAGGCCCACCTCACTCGGGTCTCACCCCATGTACACCAAACACAATCCTGAATTATTATTATTATTATTATTATTTTATTATTATTATTATTATTTTTTGCGATACTATCTTTCGCTCTACTTTAGCGGAAAACTGGATTAGGAAAAAAACATGAGTTTTACTGCAGGTATCCGGAGTTTGACACTTAAAATTACCTGCTACTCATATGAGGTTGGGGGCCCCACGCCAATAAAATGTATGAGGCCCGACTCCCTCACTCACATCAAGTAATACTCCGGGTATAAATAACACTCAAAAAACATATAACTATAGTTTCAGAAATTTTATAATAGTTTAAAGTGTACTGGTTTTTATTGTACAGATGTTAAAGTAAATCTGATTCTTAAATGCTTCTATTTATTCTTGTTCCAGTTGTACGATAGGTGCGGTGCATTTGGCCTGTTCTGAATTTTGAGAAAATTAGTTTCAACAAAATTATCTTCTTATTTTTTTTATTGTTTTTTAAAAATATTTATTATTTAATATGTTATCCTACAACTACAGGATTTGTCCTGCACTGCACAAATATTACCCCATGTCTTCCCACGATATCATATTAGGTAGACACTATGCACCTATTATATGGTGTCTATGTTGAGCATGTTTGGCTTAACTTAACGTCAACTTATCTTGATATTGTGTTTGTAATTCCTTATTAGCTTATTATGATAAAAGTTTTTGAAATGTGTAATTAAAAAGTTGTAAAACCTGTGGAAAATATGGTTAATATTGACTTTGATTTAGAGCATGTTTGGTACGAATTTTAATCCAATTAACATCAATTTTTTGACCGTTATTTCAATATTTCAACTGTCATTTTTGAATTCTTCTCTCACATATAGGACTCACTTTATCTTTAACGGTCAAAAAATCAATTAACAAAATCCCTACCAAACAAGCACTTAAAATTAAAATCAGATTTTAATCCAAACAAATAGGCCGACAATCACGATAGATTAAAATAAATCAATATTTTTGCTTGTTCTTTAGTTAAGTATCAACGTCCTTTCACTTATTATTCGTAAAATAATAATTATTTTAATATAATTGACTTTCACTTGGTGGCTTCTAATAATTCTACTTTTCCCTCAATGTTGTATATATTGACTTTTAAGCTCTATTTTTTTAATTTTTGACTAAATTTATAGGCTGTATTCAAGCTGGTTAGCATTGATGTACATTTGAGTTCGATGTTCTCAAATTACAAAAGCGTGCTAGCAACACACCATTATTTCCAAATGGTTTCTTGGTCTTGCAGTAAAGTTGGAATTCGCAAAAATAAAATAAAATAAAATGTTATTATTCCACTCTACTCTAGCCTCTAATATCTTTTACTGTAATAAATAATAACAAAGCACTATTTTTTTTTTTGTAAAAGTGATACTCTTAAAAAAGATATATAAAAATTATGAAAAAGTAATAATTATATAAGGTGAGTAAACGGTCACAACTACCCCTTTATTATAATAATCATCTTATTTTAGCCACTCAAATAAAATAAAATTAATGCATTTAAATAGTAGGTACATGCTCTTCGAGGACACCATAATTAATTTTCAATAATTTGAGATGGTCAAGATCATTAAGTGATTTTCCCGTTGTAATTATTGAACTAATTAAAAATATAGTAAAATGATTATAGAGACATTCTAAAATCTAGAACATACTTATGGTGAATCTAATTAATGGATAATTGCATAATATTTAGGTTTTTGAAGGACAAAGGTTGGAAAGATTGGTGTCTAATCATTATAACTCATTTACACTTGTTTGGGATAACTTTAAAAGTTGATGAGATTTAAAATCGAAGTTAACAAATAATTTTAATCGTATATTTTGTAAAATTTATAATTTTTATTAATTTTTCAATTATTATTTTCATCAAATTTTATTCAAATTTGTTAAATTTTTTATCAGAAACTTTGTCAAATAATTCGTCTACGATAACAAATTACTCTCACTAATTTAGGGTCAACTTTGGCAAACTATTTTATAATTTTATCAATATTATTATTGAAAGCAATGTTAACAAACATATCGTGTACTCATGTGGATTTTGTCTATCCTCAACACAAACCTCTCGAGTGTATGCTAAAGGTTTTCAACTCCTTGAGCTATGTTTTTCTTAGGTTATGTTTAAGCTCCATTTTTTTTTTTTTGAAAAAAGTAAATTATAATAATAATTTTTTGGAGAATATGTGATTATAAAATAGGAAAAAATTGAATTTACGTGTAAAATTTTTTATTGAAAAATGTGTGATTGAAAATAAATTTGATGAAAAATAAGTTTTCCAGAATGGAGTTCAAACATGTGATTAATTTTGCCTTATCCCTAGTAGTTATACATTCTAATTAAAACTTCAAAATACTTTTGACTACCTATTTCTTCTAAGCTAAACTCCAAGAAGATATCATTATCATTGATAGAAGATATTTTCAGTTTATGAAAACAAGTCTTTATTATTTAGGTTTCATCTTCTTAATTTCAACTCATTTGATACCATTTTTTGATATTGAATTCTAACATGATCTTTACAAATCTAAATATCTTTTTCTTCGATTCATTCCATTAACAATTTGACAAATAAATCCCCCTCAATCACTAAAATTCAAACTTTCTATATGTGGTGAATTTCTATGAATTACACAAAAAAAATGTAATAATTCTCTTGTTGCTTATCCACCAAAAAAAGCAAGAAGTCAAGGAGAAGTAATCTATAAAAAAAAGGAGAGGAGAGATTGATAATTGAAATTGAGAGGGATGTTACATTTATTGAGGACAAGAAAATCAGGTGAGCTAACTATGTGGGACCTACTAACCTTCAATGGTTTATAGCTTTCCACGTGGACCCTCACATCAGCAAGATGTGATTTGGTGCACTTGGTGTTTATCTCAGAGGATTCCCCACCGCCCATACTCTTGTTTGATACATGTACGAAGTTAATGGAAAATAAAGGGTGATTTGATTTCCAGCCACCCACCCGACTCGATCCAAGAGATACCCACTATATTGGAAATGTCTTCCTCTTACATTAGATTCAAGTCGCCCAACGTTGTTCATGTCGCATGCATCTATGCATTCCAGGTGACTCTTCTTGCACGATATATATTCATTGACAATCACACATTTGATAAATTTTTATGATAAAATTTTAGTAGTTTTTGTTAATTCATGGAGTCAATTATTGTCATTGCGCGATGTCAGTACATAGATCGATCTCAAACAAGAGAGTCATCGTATCATATCAGAAAAGATAGATTGAATGATTTTCCTTACAAATATCTTTTCATTATAGAAAATTACAGTAATAACGAACGAGGATATAGTTTTACATTTTGAAAATGGAGTCTTTGTCTAGAGAAATGTTAAGACATACACCTCCATAAATTGGATAGAGTTGAGATTAGGATCATGATTTTGCAGTC